TGATTTATTGGGATTTTTCCTCCTCGTTTCCATAAAATATAAATATGCGTATTATTTCAATACATTTGTAGTGGGACAAATCAAATGATTTGTCCCAAAATGTCACTGCGTTTAACAAATTTTCCTATCAGGAAGCCTGAAAGAAGAATCCAGCAGCTTGTCAGTGACACTTTGTTTGAAAAAAAGTTCGATGGAGAGAAAAATTGAAAAAATATCGAGTTTTTACGTATCTTTGGACGTTTCGCGAATGAATCTGCTCCCGTTCTCAACATGAAAATGCAAAATAATTTTCTTCGGGAGTTGTGCTCTGCTAGAAAAGTAGACTTGAATCACTCATTCATATGCCAACATCAGTATGACACTGAGAAGTGTCAAACTATTAGCAGAGCACAACTTCCAAAGAAAATTGTTTTGCATCATCATGTTGAGAACGGGAGCAGATTCGTTCCCGAAACGTCCAAAGAAAAGTGAAAATTCGATATTTTTCAATGCTATCTCGCATAAACTTGAAGATTTATCTTGGCTTAACATGAACAACCGACGTAAGTCACATGCATTATGCTTGTTTCACAAGGTAATTCTAAATAATTGTCCACGATATATGTACAGAAAAAAACGATATCCACCATCTAAATATTCGGAATAAATTCGAAATAACAGTCCCCAAACATAGATCAGAGTTTTTGAAAAGGTCACTCTCTTACCAAATACCTGAATTGTACTATGATTCACCAGATTCTTTCAAAGATTCGTCTACATTCGTCTACATTCAGACATAAAATACGCGAATCCTTGTTGGCAAGCAGGAATAATTCCTAATTCAAAACAATAACAATTCTTCTAAAAATGTTTTAGTTGATACGTATACAGGGTGGCCCACGGTCGATGGTACGTTAGACGTATACGGAAAACGGTACTTTGGATTATCCTGAAAATCTGGTTACTTCAATAAGCGTTTGTGATCTAACGATTCAAAATATTTTCAGCGATGCAGCGTTGCCACTTTTACCAAAAAGTAGCATCATCATATTGAAGGGGTGATTCTTTGAGTGATTCTAAGACGAAAAGTTCATATGAACATAGGTCCGGTAATGCTTCGTTTTCAAGATACAGGGTGTCAAAATTTTTAAAAGAAATCGTTTTTTTCGTAAATATCTTAATAACCCTTCAACCGATTTTATTGGCAGTGTTATTCAAGGTCGTAAAGGGCTAATTCAACCCTAACTATATCAAAATTATCATGTCCAGTGGCTTCCCGGAAGGCACTGTAACCAATATTTTTGACAGAAAAAATGTGCGCCACTGATTTTTTTGCAATTTTTGTATTTGTTTCACATTGAGCAACTAAAATTACAACTTTTTTATATCTAGAATTTTTATCCTATCTTGCTTTGTTTTTGAGAAACAACAAAAAAATCACTTCATTGCACATCCCTGTGACGAGCCGAAGCCAAAAGCCGAAGGCAAGTGCTGCAATTCATACATACATATTTTTTGTTTTTTCATTGCATTAATTTTGATAGAAAATTCCAAGACTAGAATAGAGTATTAATATAAAAAAATATTAGTAAGACCCCAGTTTTTGATGGTTTAGTAGTTGAAATGTTTTATTGTGTTGTCACAGGGATGTGCAATGAAGTGATTTTTATGTTTTTTCTCAAAAACAAAGCAAGATACGGAAAAAATTCTAGATATAAAAAAGTTGTAATTTTAGTTGCTCAATGTGAAACAAATACAAAAATTGCAAAAAAATCAGTGGCGCACATTTTTTCTGTCAAAAATATTGGTTACAGTGCCTTCCGGGACGCCACTGGACATGATAATTTTGATATAGTTGGGGTTAAATTAGCCCTTTACGACCTTGAATAACAGCCAATAAAATCGGTTGAAGGGTTATTAAGATATTTACGAAAAAAAACGATTTCTCTTAAAAATTTTGACACCCTGTATCTTGAAAACGAAGCATTACCGGACCTATGTTTATATGAACTTTTCGTCTTAGAATCACTCAAAGAATCACCCCTTCGAGTTTGGCCACGTACTTAAATAAAACCCTGTATATATAAAAAATTTGTTTGGCCATTCCTAACGAAGATACAGGGTATTATCTGTAATTGCATTATAAGCTTGATGGCCAATATTTCAGAGACCTCTTATGGAAATGTGAAGAAATTTGCCAGAGACGTTTATCTATGGAGACCAACTGAAATGGCTCACTACTAAAAAGAAAACCAGAGCCGTACTTGATAGATTCATTTTCCATTTTAATGTCAAAAAAATAGATTTTCTGATAATTTTCCACGATTTTTTCCCAGATTCAGAAAGATCAGGCATTTTACCATAGGAACAAACCTCTAATTCTCACTGCACACTTCGACTTAGCTTAGTGAAAAAATATCAAAAAAGAACATTCGAATGAATTTTCAATTTTTACCTGGAATATTTTTATCATACTCGTAGCTGATCCATGCAAATTGATTTTCTGGTTACTGTTGATATTTATTTGTACAAAAATTAAATACAATTAGGGCAATTAATGGAAATTTTCAAAATGTTCTCCAGCAACTTCGAGGAATTTTCTACATCGCTTCAATAAATTTCTCGTAGCGTTCTGAATGGTCTGCCTGTCATTTTTCATCTCATCACACACTGCTTCTATCTGCTTTCTTAGTTCTCCTCTTTTATTCACCTCTGTGGCGTAAACTGGTTGTTTCTAAAGCCCCCAAACATAATAATCGAGAATGTTCGTATTGTGTTTAGTTTCTGGAGTGACGTTTGTTTGTTGACAGTTCAACTGATAGACACTGGTATTTCAACTTTTTTGCATGCAAAATGCCATCCAATTTTTCTAACGCATTTATGGTTTCTGTGACGGAAATTTGAGAGCTGCAGCGAGGGAATATCAGAGAAGATTCCCAAATAAAAGAACACCCACCAGCAGAACTTTAACGAGTGTTTACCAATTTTTGAGAGAACACGGCAGGATGCCAGGAAATTGGAGAAAGATTGAAAGGCCAATCAGGGGTGGTCGACATCAGAATATTGTAGAGATGGTGCAGCAAAATCCTAGGACCAGCACAAGAAGAATAGGTCAAGCGCTATGAATTTCTCACTCTTCTGTATGGAGAACATTGAAAAATGAAGAAATGCAGTCTTACCATTGTCAAAAGGTTCAACGTCTCGAAGACGGTGATGAAATATCACGGCTCACATTCTGTCGCTGGATTGTCAATCATCCAAGAACCATTACGAGAATTGTTTTCACGGATGAAGCCCATTTTACACGTGATGGAATAAATAATTCAAGAAACTCCCATCTATGGGCTCATGAAAATCCTCATGCCACCATCTAAAAGAATTCGCAACATAAGTTTTCTCTCAACATTTGGTGTGGTGTTATTGACGACAAATCAATAGGTCCACATTTTTTTGAAGGGCTACTGACAGGGCAAATGTATCTTGACTGTTTAACCGAACTTGTTAGCAGATCAGAATGTGAATGGGAGAGGACTTTACTTTCAACAGGATGTGGCACCGCCACATTTCTCCAGGCAAGTCCGAGAATATCTCAATATCCTGATTGCTGAATAGGTCGTGGCGGTCCTCATTCCTGGTCACCAAGATCCCCTGATCTCAGAGTCCTCGACTTTTATGGTTGGGGGCACAGAGGGGAATACAAGAGAAGAACAGAGAGAGTGGATGGAAGCATTTTGAAAATTTCCTTCCATTGCCTTATTAAATGTGTTACCTGTATTCAAGTTTTGTACAAATGAATATCAATAGTCCCCAGAAAATCAATTTGCATGAATCAGCCAAAAGTCAGATGAAAATATTCCAGGTCAAAATTGAAAATCCATTCGAATGTTCTTTTTTGATATTTTTTCACTAAGCTGGTCGAAGTGTGCCGTGAGAATTGGAGGTTGGTTCCAATGGTAAAATGCCTGATCTTCCTGAATCTAGAAAAAAAATCGAGGAGATGATCAGGAAATCTATTTTTTGACATTCAAATGAGAAATGATTTTATTAAGTCCAGCTTTGGATTTTTATTTTAGTAGTGAGCCATTTCAGGTGGTCTCCATAGATATACGTCTCTGACAAATTTCATCACATTGCGATAAGAGGTCTCTGATATATCGGCCATCAAACTTATATGGCAATTACAGATAATACCCTGTATCTCCGTTATGGATTGCCAAAATAATTTTTCATATATATACGTCAACTCGTCTTGGTTTCCTCTAATCACCATTTGGTTATGTGAGTCTACTCATGAAACACCCTGTATGAAAATGATCCAGAGAACAATACAAAGAAAGAGACTCACTTGAACTACAGAAATATTACAGATAATTCGATTAAAAAAGCGAAGAAACAATATTACAACGGGCAAATTGAAGACAATAAAGAAAACTCAAAGATCTTATGGAACGTTTTGAACCAAATACATGGCAAGAAATCCAGTAAGCTTAGTGAAGTGAATGAAATATGCAAAAATGATGGTCAAATAGTAAATACCCCTATTGATATCGCGAATGAATTCAATAATTTTTTTTCTGAAATAGAGCAAAAGCTCGCTGAAATATTCAAGGCCAATGATTTAGTTAAGCCAAGCAGAAATATACTTGATAATTCCTTTTTCTCAATTCCCACAACGCAAGCAGGGGTTAAAAATACGATTACGTCATTGAAGAATAAAAAGTCACCTGGGATTGATGGAATTCGCTCAGAAACTATCAAGGATATATCAAATACTATCGCGCCGTTGATTACAGATTTAATCAATGTTATAATTGTGAAAGGCTAGGCCCTAAGTCATTTCAAGAAAGCAGTTATATCCAAATCCAAGTAGAGAAATAACGAGGATGGTCTTTGGGAACCTTTTGGAACAAGCTTGGGGCAAATCAGCAACTATGGAAAATGGGATGTCTGGTTTTAGAGCGACAGGTATTGCACCCTTCAATCCAGGAGTCATTCCAGATTATACGTATATCAATATTTGAATGGAACAAGATGCAGAAGCCAGGCATGGTTCCAATAGTACGGTTGAAAATCCATCCCATCCTCCAACTCCGCCCCGGTTCCCTACAGTTCAGACAACTAACACTCGCATTTGGTCACCCCAGCCTGGTTGTTCGCACGACCCTGACACTGCAACAGTTGAGACCGACCCCACACCAGGAAAATTGTTGGACAACGTGATATCGCCTGTTCCTGGAACTAGTGCAAAAGCAGTAGTCAAAACACGAGGAAGGCAGCTTGCAACAATTCTCAACAGTTTACAACGCATTGAGATTCAGAAGGACAAACAGAATACGAAGAGGAAGAACAGATATCAAATTCACAAGAGACCTGTGGTTGAACAGAAAAAACAATTGGAATCTTCAGATTCGGACAGCGAAGGACCAGTATTGCAGGAGAGTGATGTATCAGCAGAAGAGTGGGACGAAAATGAGTGCGTAGGGTGTGGGGAAAATTATTTTGAAACTACTAAGTTAGAAGTCTGGCTCAAATGTGTGAACTGCAATCGTTGGTTTCATAATGGATGCTCGAAATTTTTGTGATACATGTGGAAAACTGAGAAACAAAAGTCGTAAATTTCAAGTTCATTTATACGTTTTTATTGTACTTTCATTTTTACGCTATTCTTGTATATTCTATCATTTTATATTTTATTATTTTTCGAGGTCGGCCTCACCCGTAGTTGGTGGTCGGTCTAACCCGAGTGAAATCGACTAGTTGCAATATTTGACCTTTCAATTCAAAATAAAAATGTATATTCGTTCTTTATCATAACTCATAATTTATATGGTATTCTAACCCTTTGGGCAATGCTTCATCAGTTGAAAAAAATGTATATCTCAGAAACCAAAAGAGTTGCATTTTTTTTTTAAATGTGGTCGAACTATCCCGGACTTGCACTACTTTCTACGCACCCAAACTCTTTTTTCTATTTTATACTTGAAGCGATCAGTCAGCATCCAACCGAAGAGTAGTGAGTGTTACAATTAACAATATTAACATTGTGTTTTTTGTGTCATGGTCTCAGCGAAGTGTGTATTTGTGTTTCAATGCTAAATGAAAGTCGAAGAAATACTGGAAAGGTTTGGGCTTCCCACCTTAGGAGAAGCATTCGAATGTAAGTACCTATACCACAATACATTCCTATGATAATCTACCTATAATTATAATACAACAATAATTTTGTCCAAAACAAAACTACATTTGGCGCGTGTTGTCAGCACACTAGACCGCTGCGGCGGTAAATTTTTTGTTTGGCCGTGGCCGCATGTCCGTTGACGATTATTATATGGATATTATCAGAGATAAGTTACCCACAGAACAAGATGTGTACGTTAATGATAAAATTTTTAAAGACCCAGTTCAGTGGTTTTGGAATTAACCACCAGATGGAACTAGTGCTGTTGATTCCAAAAAGGAGAATATAGCTCTTTCCAGCTCCTATTCCATACGAAATTTATCATTTAAAAAAGAAGAACGACAATCGATCTGTCTTTTGTCAATATGTTCATCTCGTTTCTTGTTCCTGTTGTTTCTTTTTAATGGAAGATTGAAATCTTTGCAATTTTTGTGTTCATGGTAGTGAGAAAGCGTGAAAGCATTTAGCATCAGAAGTATTTTTCTTATATTTTTTGGTGGTTTGAGTTGCTAATTTTATGTTGACAACAATTCCTATTCTGTTGAACGATTGATAAAATTGACTATGTCGGTATCATCAGGAAATAAGTGTGAATTTATAAACTGTGTCACGTCGTCATAATGTGGGTGTGAAAATGTTTCTTTTTCCCATTAAAGAAAGTGGATCGTGAATTCTGGTAAGTACAGTAATCGTGTAATCGAAAAATGAGGTACTAGCATTGCAGATAAAGAAGGACATTCATATACTAGCAGAGATAAGTTACCCATGGAACTAGTAAGTGATGTCTAATTTTTTTGGTTACAGGAAATGTCAGGAAGTGCTGGTCTGGAGGAAAGTTTTGAAGTATCACAGGCACCTATTCAAACATTTTCTAGATTGGCTATAGGGAAGAAAAGAAAGTCAATTGATGAAGACAGGGAAAGTAATGCATCTTTTAGTAGCGTGTCTTCAACAAGTCAGTCATTGGTTGGAAGATATTATCAACATGCCATCTTCACCAAAGAAACAGTGCATGCCAAATATAGTGCCTTCTAGGTTTTTAGGGCATTGCAGTTCAACCTTAACTCAAAATGTGGAAGAAGCACAAAAAATTGAGATAAGAACCCTGAGGAAAAAAATTGAACAAGAATACAAAGAATTGCATTACAAACATTTCAAATTTCTAAAATGCGAAGCAAATTGAAACTGATCACTCCAAGAATCAAATGTATGCCTGCAGAAATGCAAATTAATCAATCTCCTCATGAATTGGTCCTAAACTCTAGTTAGAATGCAAATTGATGAGAAGTATTTTGCATTAATGTTCTATTATAAATCTCCAGGAGCCTATAAGAAAATGGATTAGTCGATCCAAGTGCCTGCCTGCAATGAGTAAAAGGTATTTTAGACAAATCCACCTAGAAGTCCAGACTATGACAGCTAATGAAAAACAGTGTGTGATTTCTTTCGATGAAATGGCCATAAAAGAATTCTTAGAATATTCAAAAGCTATGGATTTAGTTGAAGGTTTTGAAGACATGGGTCACTTGGGAAGAACCACCGATAAAGCTAAGTATGCTCTAGTTTTTCCTGAGCCATACAGGTGTTTCTGGAGACATCTTGAAGGACCTTCTGATGACTATTTTGCAGAAGGTTAGCAGTAGTGGTCTACTACTACCCAAAAATGTTTCAAACTATTGGGAATCACAAAAGATAAGCCCTATTTTGAGTGCAGAAATGGTGATACCTCTATGACCATTCTTGCACTTTATGATTTTTCACATATTGTAAAGAATTTCAGGAATAATCTCCTGACTGGGTAATATTTATACAAAGGGAAAATCATTTCTTTCGATGATATTAGAATTGTTAACAACAGATACTCTCATGAATCCAAACAATTTTCAAAGGATATCTGTGAAACTAGCTTCCCAAATATCAAGTCACAGTGTAGCTAGCACCATCAGAACACGTATAGAAACAGGACAAATCCAAACAACATCAGCAGAAAGTACAGCAGAATCTGTAGGTAAGTAACAATTTTTTTTCTATTATGTCTATCATTGTGTTGGGTACTTTGTACTCTTTATGATCTGCCAAGTGATTATAATAATATGTGAACCTATGTCACACTCACCTTTGTCACACCACTATTATTTCTGAAGTACAATCCTTTCTAAGATTATGCCATTCAAAGTACAACTTTCATGTCTCCCATAATTTTGCCTTCCTTCCTTTTTGTTCAGAAAAAATATATTGAAACTTCTGATTACTATCTACTGATATGTTTGACTATATCAATCGATTAATATTTATTTATTAACAAAATAAATTAACATTCAACGATTTATAATATTCTGACTGACTGTCTTCATCCGTCAATGTTCATCTACCAAGTGATCCAAACATCTCCCTTTCGAATAAGTTTCTTCTCATCTCATCTTCTTCCCTTCAATTTCTATAGGGCGAATAAATCTTCTATTTCTCTTCAAAATATTTCCACTGGGCAATTTCATTGTATAACATCTATTTTTTTCAATTTCAATAATGATGCCAATTTTATCCCATCTCTTGGATCTTGGATTTTGAATTCTCACTGTTTCTTGCTTACGAGCCATGAACTGACTACGCCGGATCCGACTGTTTTCTTTCTTTCTGAAATATTCTTCCAGTTTATCCAACACTTCATTTGCTGTTACTATAGTCAAATCTTGGACTTTGAGCACTAGACGAACTACATCAGAAATATCCTGACTGAATAAAGAAATCAAGAAAGCAGTCATTTGATGTTGTGAACAAACTTCCAATCCTTGGAAAATTGAATAATTCTCAAACTTTCTCCTCCAATCTTTAAATTGTGCCAATGATAGAGTTTCAGCTAGTTTTTCGGGGCATGGAATGACATTGGAAAAGCGAATTCCCTGCTGAGAAGATATAATGGGGTGGGCTCGTGAATCAATCTGGCTACCTTGTGTATTTTCTCTTGAGGCAGAAGGTAAATTTTCCGTTGATGATAAATTTGGTTGAGCTTCTTGCGTTACACCTGATTCAGTCGATCCACTTTCATCTTGGGTAATGTTTTACTTAGAGGGCATTGTCGAATTTTTTCAAAATTTTTGCCAGTACTTACGTATTTTGGGGTGTAGAATACGAATCTGAAAACCAAAAAGCTGGGAAACCAATACTTTTCGAGATATTTGCAAAATAAGTCATTTTGTTCATCATTTTTCAGCGTCTTTTAGCAACATTCCTCAAGCGGTATAATTCTCTATCTTCTTTCTTTCGTTGTTGATTGATGAATTATGTATTTCTCAATTCATTTTATTTGGGTATTTTAACAATGAAAGCATTTCATTTGCTATTTACCTTGTTAATTTTATGTATGTGTTTTTTTATGATTAAAAGATGCATCAAACGTGAACGTGACACTTGACAGACATGATAAATTGACAGACAATAACAAGCAATGTTGCCAGATCTTGTTTTTTCCCGTAATAGGAATAGAAAACAATATAGGGAGGGTATTCCAACCATATTCTTTCCAATGTGTGTTTGAAAAATGAGATCTACTTAACCCGAACAAACTAACCTAACTATAGAGCTCGGATTACGATAGACGTTGCGGTTACGATAGAACCGCGGTTACTATAGAGCTCGGATAACGTAACCGCAGCGTCTATCGGAACCGCAGCGTTTATCGCAACCGCAGCGTTTATCGTAACCGCAGCGTCTATCGTAACCGCGGCGTCTATCATAACCGCAGCGTCTATCGTAACCGCAACGTCTATCGTAATCCGAGCTCTATAGTTAGGTTAATTTGTTCGGGTTTTTCAAATCTAGTTGATTTCTTGATCAAGTTTCTCCTTCCTCAATAATGATAATATAATAGTTCGTTCATCAAAAAATATATTTATCCACCGCGCATGCCGCGGCTGAAATATACGAGAATAGATAGTGAACTCCCAGCGCTTGCGCATATAATGGAATTTAGTGTGCGCCGATGGTCTCGTGCAAATCGTTGTTCCATGCATCATGACAACACTGTAGCGCACCAGGTTTTTCAAATGTTTCATTTGAATTTATTTGAACATTTGAATATTATATTTTGATTAAACATCAATATGGAGTTCATGTTGAACGATTTCATCTTTCTTGTTAGAAAACGAGATGAATTTATAGAGTTCCTAGTGAATATTGGAATTTTTGAAAATTCAATTCAGTGCCCGAGGTGCGAATCAGTGTGTTTGTTGGATAAAAGGACATTGAAATATCGGTGCACCAAAACCGTAATTATTCAACGAGGGCATCAGGCTCCGAAAAGGAAGAACTGCAATTTTAAAGGAAGTGCAAGAAAAAATACTTTTTTCGAAGGCAATTTAGGCCTCGAAAAAACAGCCCTCTTTGGGACATACTTCCTTTTATTGC